TTTCAGATTCTCCATGTTCATTGGATATGTTTCCTGTTATTAATAAGCACTACAGTTGTAAGATTTATCATAATGATTTGATTAATTATTAGATAATTATGAGTTAACTATAGCATTGATCCAAAGTAATGGGAAGTTTTAAGCATTTAATTATCATTACAATAATAGTGATGTCATGTGTTGGTAGGTTCAACAAGCACTCCCTAGGCATTCAAATCAGTAACAATCACCACAAAGTATGGATGTTGCTTTTACATGACTCACAAGTTTGATTAGAAACTGATATATTTAATTAATCACACATGTGGCATTTCACATGCCATAATAATGTTTATTAGTTTGTTGTTGATTAGACCATTTAGCTCAAAGAGCTAATCATTACTTAATCCATGACCTATTCCAATCCAAGAAGAAATAATTTTCGAGAAGCGCGCGGGGGTAAAAAAAAAATTAATCCCGTAAGGGCATAAGCTCATATGTTAAGTTCCGAAACAGAGAAATTTTCACATAAGCATTACAAAATAGTCATTTGAGGTTAGTTAAAAAATGCAAAACGTTTCGGGGTTTTTTGGATTTTCTCGAAGTTAATGGGGATTTATTAAAAATTTCAAATTTTTCGGAGATTAATTGCCAAATGCCCACACTTATCAGGTTTAGTGAAATTTTCCCCTTACACTTAGACGTGTATATTCCAAATAAACAAAATCATGCATCTAGAAATTATGGGATGGTGAGAGACCTATTGATACAATTTTAGGAATTGATCATGGTTGTAGTGATGTGTCATCTTGTAGAGTGGTTCGTGCACTTTCAGAGATCAAGGACATTAGGAATAAAAATTCTATTTGAGCAAGCAAACTTCAATCATCATTCCATCATTAACAAAGCAATAATCTGTTTATATGACTGGTCAGGTACTAAAGCTGGAAAAAAAGCTCATCAAGTTGCGGACATGCTGGAAAGCAATCCACTTCATCGTAGCAGTGCATGAAATGACTGGACAGTTTGCTAAACAAGCTTTTTGGGAGTGTTCTTTTTGTATATTTTGTCTTGTAAATACTTAATCTTTTTGTAGCATGATAGATATCAGTATTTTAGTTCCATATAACTATATGTATGGCTGGCTTTGGTTCTTTCATGTATCTATGTCAACGGTGAATGACGGCAAGGCCCTCTCTTCACCTTCATGGATCCCTGGAAGAAGAAGGATATACATCCCTAGTCACATGGAACTAAGCCTACTGTTATCTAACATCCTCGTTTTTTGTTTGGATACATTTCGTATCCAACAATTTTGTACTATATACTTTTATCTTTAATTGAACAGGGCTTTTTGTTTGGATACATTTCGTATCCAACAATTTTGTACTATATACTTTTATCTTTAATTGAACAGGGTATATCCCTTGTTTTACATTTCGTATCCAACAATTTTGTACTATATACTTTTATCTTTAATTGAACAGGGTATATCCCTTGTTTTCTATCAAAAAAAAAAAGATCAAGGACATTAATAGAAAGGACAAATTTTCAATTTCGACTCATTTACAAAGTTATTTGCAAAAAACGACTCATATCTACTTTAATTGCCAAAATCAACTTAGTTTCAGCCAACTAGCTGAAACTAGGTCGATTTTGGGGAAAAACTTCACGAAACTTCACGGGACTTGAAGTCCCGTGAAGTTTAAGCGCGTGATTAAACATCACGGGACTTGAAGTCCCATGATGTTTAGTAATGTGCAAACATCACGGGACTTCAAGTGCTATGATGTTTAGCATCGTGCAAAACATCACGGTACTTGAAGTTCTGTGATGTTTCAGTTGGCATTTCCAGAGAACAATGCTCTCTGGAAAGTCCGCCTGAAGTCCCGTGGAGTTTGCGGTAGGGCTATATGAGGGCCCTAACGCCGCACGCGATTACATATCGCGTTGAACCCTCTCTCCAAGCAAACCCTAGCCCTATCCCCTTACTCCTGTTGCTGCCGACGTCGTCGTCATCACCCCAATGACGTCGCCCCTACCGCCGCTGCCTTAGCACACCGTTACCACCGGTGATCGATCCCGCTGCCGTTACCATCGGAGTTCGATGGAAATTAGGACATCGACAAATTTTAGCTAAATTTTCAAATTTTTTTCTCATAAATTTTTATATATTCTCATTATTCCAATGCCTTCCACAGGAGTGACGATAGAAGATGATAATGCAAGTGTCAAATCTGAGGATGATGATGAAGAGGATGACTTATAAATCAATAGCATGACGTGTTTGATAGATCGTGATGAAGGGGACAACCAATATATTGACGGATGCTATACTAACAATGAGTATGTCATGTTAGAGGATCCGACGCTCGATGAACTTTATGGAGAAGAATGGATTGATAACTCCATGATAAAAAGTATTCCTATCGGCACTAATATCATTGATGATACACAAGGCGAGGACTTCTCATTCAAAAAGGGTGATCTATTTAAAAGCAATGAGAAATTGATTCATGCGCTTCGTTTGTGGGTCATCCAATAAAATGTCAAGTTTAAGCAAACAAAAAGGTTACATGTGACAATCGTTTATATACCAATGAAAGGTTTTATTGGTTACATATTACATGTGACAATCGTTTATATGCCAATACCTTGTTTAAACTAGTTTGGCATAAAGCACGTCTAAGAAAGAAATGTATTGGCATACATTGTTCCCATGTGACAATCGTTTTTTGTAATATGTAACCTTCTAATTTTAATCCTTATTCTCATGTGACAATGGTTTTTTGTAATATGTAACCTTTATATTTTAATCCTTATTTCACGTGACTCTCGTTTTTGTAATATATAACCTTCTTCTTTGAATCTTGAATCTTGAATCTTGAATATGTAAAATACATATGATTAAGTTATTAAACTGAAAATTTTAACTTATTGTATTTGGGGAAGTGTACACGCGACGACGTAGGCCAGGTCAAAGAGCGGCATGTAATGATGGAGCCGACACTTCTCATAGCACGACGCATGCTGATGGAGCCGGTACTTCTCAGCCTCATACACAACCATATACTCAGATCATCGAGGCTCATCAGT